GTCAGCAGACAGCAAGAAGCCTCCCAGATCTCCAGATGCATTTGAGATATCAAAAAAGTACTCCAGAGTGTTGTTCAGCATGGGGGTGGGTAGAAAATGAAGGCTAATCATGTTTTGGGTGTACTATTCCTTTAACATCAACCCCTGAAATGTGAGAGAAATGTGACCCCGGCCCCCTGCTGGTGGTGCTGTGTGTTGCAGGAAGCAGTGACCCTGAGCGGAGCGCTCAGTGCGGATCCTCTCAGGAGAAGCTTCTTCTAGAGAGGCGTGGAGTCCTGGGCGACTCTCCGCGGGACTCGGGCTGCTATGAGAGTAACGAGAACCTGGAGAACGGTAACGACAGCCTGACCCGCCTGTGAACTCTGTCCTTTTCTTCGGCCTCCTTATAAAGACTCTCTGGGCCTCTTTCCTTGATGCTTAAGCATTCCAACCCTTCAGCTTTTATGCTCTTTTGGAAAGACTTTTATCACAGTTACCTGTGACGAACTTTTTTTTTCTCCCGTCATTCCTAATCCTAAAGTTTTCTTTTGCTGCATCACTCTTTTTTTTCATGCAGTGCTTCCAGGCGCATCTGAAGCAACGACTAAAGACTCGACAGTGACAACAGAACAGAGATGACAGATATCTGTTTTTTATGACAGTAGAAGTTCACAGTGAGAAAGTTTACTCCCCTCAAAGTGGAAGCACACGTGGAGCAGCTTGCAGCTTTGCTCTCAGATCGACCTTCGCTCTGAACTCGTGTGGTGGCTTCTTTTCTGCTTCTGCTGCAAATAGAGACATTCAAACTCCTGTGTGAGAAGACTATTTAATCAACCTCTACGCTTACTTTCCTGGTAACTGCAGTACATACTTATGTGAGTGCTTGGCCTATTTACAGTGACGGTACAGGTCAGAAGTTTACATACAGCCATCACGGACTACATCTGCTCCTTTTCAGGGTGAAATGATTATTTAACGCAATGATTTAAGCTTGAGGTTTCTCTATACAATGTTAGAAAATACACTAAACAAACTGGACCGACCCTGCATGCATAATCAGAACCGCAACAAGCTGCTTGCATGCATGATGAGGTAGCAGGTCATGGTTGTGGACTGATCTCCAATGCACTTTATGACAGATACAGATCATAGCTACCAAGATGCTAAAGCTCAAGGAAGGTGGTGAAGCCATATGGTTACGGTTGAGCATAACCGGTCAAATAATCACACATTAATGTCTCATCCAGCCTCAATAGGTTAAATCTATACACTAAAGAGAACCCACTCACATTTGGTATCCATTTAAAGCTTTCGGTTTAGTTCAATTTGGATATTTGATTTTTTTTCCTGGCAGGAATAGAACTTTTTTTTTTCTTTTTGTATATTTGCGATATCTTTTGACTTCCTTCGCCTTTTCACAAAACCCTTTAGTTGCTTTTGGGATCTTTGTTCAGTTAAAGCAAACAACTTTTTCCATGTTTGAACAGGTTGGCTTTTGACTTCTGAAGTAATTCTTTCTACCATTCTGACAAAATAGAAGAATCCTACATTATTCTTCTCAGGGCATAAACTTTGGAAGACATTTGGTTTGGTTTCCTAGTTAATTGGCTTCAAGGTGTAGATTTTTGGTCATAGCTCAGTGACGGGGTGTTCCAGGGGTTTCCATTACACAATGAAACGGGGTTCCTGGTCCTCAGAAGGAAGATCTCTCGTCTAAAGGACGGATAAACGTCTGTAAACATAGTTTTAGATGCTGTTGCTGGTTGCAAGGAATTACAGGAGATATATGCATATATTTTATAATAGCATTTATATTTATTCAGGGCGGAAGTTCAAAAGTATGCAGTCAGTTAATACATAGATGCATCATGAATTCACCCTAGAAAAGAGCTGTTTACCTGCGTCGTTAGAATCATGACTGTGCGTACACTTCTGAACTGTACATCATGCTAACTGTGGTTATTTTCTGGAGTTTGCTAACTGTTAAACGCAGCCGCTTGTAATAATATTTGAAGAGCACTCTGAATGTCAGCGTGTCACTCTGGGCCTCCCCTGTTCTCTGTTCAGATTCTGCTGTTTGTGTGTATATTTTTCTAGTCCTGTAAAATGTAATGTTGCACAATATTTTATCATGTGCCTGAAAGCTGCTTCATGCAGTGGAATTAAAGGATTTACCTTAAAGTTTATACTTGCTGAAATGTGGGATTTTGTGTAACTAACTTTAAATTCAGTCATTTGCAGAATTAAAGTAGGTCCTTACAGAAGCAACTTGGGTTTCTTAAAGTGGACCTTAGTCATGGTCGAGCGTCAGGAATAAACGGCTCCTTGCTTCACCACACTGGGCTGCTTGCATTTCTTTAACGCGTCGTTCTTTCCGGCCTTCGTCTCTTCTTTCTGTCGCAGAGTTGCTCTCTTGTTGTTTTATTCGCATTTTCTAGCAAAAACATTCATACCTCTTCCAGTTTTTCACTGGTTCTTGTGTTCTAAACTGATATTTCACTGTTCAGTAAGCAATAGATCAACACAAAGTAAGATTTGTGTTCATTTATCCAATAATGACATGCAGCGGTATTCAGCCGCTCTAAGTGCTGTGTGGAACAACCAGGTCATGGAGTGCTGCAGAAACCACTTATTCACATGTTCATCTAGGTTATGTGGGAAAGCTTTAAAAGTTCAGGATATTGGACCTATTAAGGTTTTCTTTAACCTATACTTTGTTCTAAGTGTGCAAGACTCATAGTTATCAGCAGATTCTTCTACCTGAGTTGTTAATCTCTGCAGCTCCTCCAAAGTTACCTTGGACCACTTGACCAGAACTTTATTTTCAATCTGAACACATTTCTTTCAGAATTTTATTTGAAAAGAAATATTCCCAGTTTGAACTACCCTGTGTTGGTCTATCACATCTGGTTGCATTAAAACATAAGGTTGCAGTCGTTACGTGACAAACTGTGGAAGACAAAGTTAGATGGTTATAAAAAAAACTACCGGTACTTGGAATATGTAAAGAAAAGGAAAAAAAAAACTAGGTTGCATCTGCATGATCCACACACACTTCCCTTGTTATTCCAGGAAAGCAAAAAAAATCAGCCGGATCCATCAACAGGTCTTCATCCGGATTTGAATCCAGCTTCCTCCCTACATCTACTGTCCAAAATAAAACTCACCTGCCCTCCATTCAGCAATCTCTTAGACCCCCAAATAATTACTTTGCTCTCATGAACTCTGGAGGAGCAATTGCTCGAAGTCACAGCTGCGCGGATCTTAAAAGCAGCTCACCGCCGAACTCGTTGGATTGCTCCGACTCCCTAAAGGCTCTCCACAAAGATCGGTGTAGAAAACAGCCCAACCAAGCTGACCGACTGAGCGCCACAAAGCCAGCTACGGCCTCACAGCACGCTGTCATTCCTCCTCCTGTTAGCAGAGCTTCTGACACAGATGGAGATAAGGTGTTTGCACAAAAACAGGCAGTTAAAACTGAGAGCAGAGCCATAGAGCTGCAACGAGCTGCAGAAAAGTCAAGTCAACCAGACTCTCACCCAGAAGAGCCCTTCACCACAAAAACCACCAGTGGATCTGAGCGCACCAATCAGGTCTCTGCAGAGGACATGATAAGCCAACCGGTTTCAGCCGCTTCAGAAGCTCGACGACTGAAACTCCAAAGAATTAAAAAGATTTCCTCGCATTCAGTAAGTTGGGGGCCTAATGTGTAAAAGGAAGAAATAAAAACAAAGATCTAAACTATTGCGGAAAAACTGGAACCAGTTTCCTCCTATGTTGTGATTTAGGATAGAGTGAAGAGAATGTTCTTAGCTTTGCTGCTGCTGTATCGGGGTATTGCTTTTCTTCAACTGTGTAGAAAATAGTAACAGAAGAGGTCTGTGCAGGTTTGTTGTTAGAGGTGAAAACTTTTTTAAGTTCAGCCCTGTCAGCTGAAACTCTGGTAGAGCAAACATCTCATTAGAAACAAACTTAAGCATTTCTCAGTTGAGTGCCATTAAACATGTCTATTAAGTGCAATATACACTTTCAATTTACAAATAAGATTCATTGAAATGTATTCCTTGTGAAGTTGAATGTAAGTTGATTTATTTCTCATCTGTTTCCCATAATTATAGTTTTTATTGTATGCATTTTTTAGCTGATCATGAAATAAATTGTTTTCAATGTACAAATATGCTATTAATAAAGATATTGCTGATCTAGTGTAAACTTTTGCATTGATAAGAGAGTAAACTAAATAAAATTCACTTTTTTTTTAAAAATTGACACAGTTACAATTTATTTTCAGGTAGGTATTAGTGTTTTACAGTGTAATTACCTTAAACTGATTTTATTCCTGATGCTGCTAAACAATCCAACATGTTGATTACAGTTATGTTAATTAATTAAGGTTTTATTTCAATTCATTTAATTGATTTATAAAATATTTTGAAATTATTTCATTATACAGGTACGGCTCAAGAAATCTACATTTTTTTTTTTTGATAATTCAAATCAGCTGGAGACATAAACGTCCTCTTGCTGGTTTTTTATGGCTTCTTTGCTTCATTAATAATCCTAAACGTGCTCAGATGTTAGATTTGATGAGGACTAGCCTCTGCTCAAAGTTGGCAGGTTAACGTTTCACAGTTTCGCCTTTTGAGGCATTTCTTGAATGCACTTTCTGACCAACTCCAGGGCATCCAAAGCCGTTCCCCAGGCGATGGTGACCCCCCAACCCCCGTGGCCGTAGTTGTGAACAACCGGCACCATGCAGCCCTGCAGCTGCACCCTCTCCCGCTCCACCCTCGGGTTCCTCCTGCTTGGCCTGAGACCGACCCACTCGCTAAGAACCTTTGCTTTCTTCAGGGAAGGTTCCAGCCTGGCGCAGCGCTCCAGGATGTTCTGGGTGTCTCCTTTGTCCACATGCAGGCGCCAGTCTCCCTCCTGTCTGGTCCCGCCGATGGTGACGCTGTGTATGCCGGGGTAGATGTAGGTTTTCCCATCTCCGTCTCTGATGAAGTGGTTCAACCAGGGGGCCTCCACCTGGAGAACCTGGCCCCTGACTGGGTACACGCCTGCGTCCCCCACTAACTCTTTGGAGCCAAGTCCGGAGCAGTTCACAATGAGGTCGAAACCGTCGCTTAGCTCCTGCAGACTGTTAACTTTCCTCTGCTCCACTTGGCCGCCAGCCTCTCTAAACCTTTAAAAAAAAAAATACACAGCCAGTAAGATTTAAAATCTCAATTTGCAAAAAATTTTTGACTTAAGGAGGAAAAACCTTTTCTCCAGCCAGGGAAGGTAGCTGGAGCATTCACATTTTATAGAAGTGAACGCTTGTCCGAATTTATGATCTGGAAAACGCTTCAGTTCGCCATCAGCCATGATTCTAAAGCCAATCACCAAGTCAGACCAGAAGGGCGTCTTATTGGCTGGAACTTCCTTAAAAATCTGACAGCTGTAAGAGAAATAGACAAAATCACAACATGCAAATCGGATCTATAGATCTGGATCTTAGATCTACATATTGTTACCCAGAGCTCAGCATTACGCCGGCATCTGGTGCATGCTGAGACTGAGCAATAGCCAGAAGGTGATCAAAGCTGTCTTTGAACCAGCGTCTTTGTCTTTCCAGAGGAACATCTGAGAGAAAAATGGAGAAAATTATCTATTTTAGCATGAAAAACATCTCTAGTCTTTTAATTTTTTAAGGCATGTCTCATGTCTTTTGCAAGGCACTGCACCTCACCTCGCAGAAGTATTCACAAACTGTAAACTTATGCACATTTTAACATGGTATAACTCTAACCTTTCTTGTTTTCCTAAGGATTTTATTTAAGATTTTTTTTTGCTCCTCTACTTTGATAAATTGAGGACCCACCTGTTGTTGCACTTTGGGGTGTTTGTCTGGTTGTGCAGCTAAAATTTTTAGTTTATCGATTGCACAATGTCTCATTCTCTGTCAGATATTTAAGTCTTCCCACAGATTCTACATTAAGATTTAGATCTGGGCTTTGACTAGGCCATTATTTGAAAATCATTGTTCAGCTGAAAAAAGGAACCATCATATCTGCAAGTCTTCTGCAACCTCTAATGCAGGGGGCTGCAATCTCTACAAAGAGCCAATTTTGACTTCAGTCCAGCTAATAAACCTTGGTTCTGCTGGAGGTTTCTTCCTGTTCAAAGGCAGTTTTTCCTCTCCACTGT